AAAAACAGAGAATATGGTAAACTAGAAAAAATTATGCTATTATGACCAAAAAGGGTGGAATGAAAATTAAATAAAATTTTATAGGTTAAACTTGGTTAAATGGAAACAAAAAGAAAACTTAATTTTCTCTTTTTTTCTTTTTCTTTATTGTATACATATTATATTAGACATGAAATAGAAAATGTAATTGATTATATAGGATATGAGAAAATAGAGAATATGGTAAACTAGAAAGGATTACATTGGAAAGTAAAGTATTTGTAATGAGAGTATTATGATTAAAAAGGAAGGGAATGAAAATTTAATAAAATGTCATAGGTAAACTTTGACTAAGTAAAAACAAAGAAAAAATATGAAATGGTTATATGAATATATCTGGAATAAATATAAGATTTATTGTGGACTGGGGGATATACCATGTGGAACCTGAATATATTAGTTTCATTTCATTTTTTACTCTTTTTTTGTTTGTTTATTATATATCGGCTTTGAGAAAATTAATGAAGATAATAATGAATAATGTAAAATAAAATAGATGGTAAGCTGGAAATGGAAATAATAGGGGATAAAGACTGGAAAATATATGTGAGGATGAAATGCTTTTGATATTGAATTATTGAATTGAAATATGAAGTAAAAATTTATTTAAAGATCAGTTGAATAGATAATGATTTGATATGAAATTAGATAAGAAAGTTGGAAATGTAATTATGATTATGTATAAATGTTGTAACCTGGAATCACGTTGCTCACTTGAAGAGATTTGTAAAAAATAAAAAAAAATAAAAAAATCTTTTATCAAAAAAAAAGAATACATGAATTGGAAGGAAAGATATTGAACATCTAATCTAATCCCCTTTTCAGTCTGGGGACCCACTAACCACCCCTGAAAAATGTTCATCTTTGTTCTGCTTTCAGGTGCAATAGATAACAGGTCCACTTTTTCTATGTGACAGCTCTTTAGACCACTGTAACTCATCCATGTTCTCTTATAGACCAACTCCTTTAATTCTTCCTCAAAGGAGTTGATTTAAATTCCCTGCCAAGAATCCCCTCCAAACCCATTCTCTTTTATAAATGCAGCGTTTGGAATTAAACACAGCACAAGGTACTCCAAGTGTGATTTAAACAGAGCATAATATGATGGAACTATTATCTTTATGATCCGAGTGATGCAGTCCCAGTCTAACTGGCCTTTCTAGACCATTTATCTAGATCTTTGTTAATCTGCATTAAAACAGAAGACAACTTCAAAATGATCAGTTGAGAAATTCTGAAGCTATGTTATATTGTTAAAATATGGTTAAAAGCGGTGGTGGCACAGTGGTTAGAATGCAGTATTGCAGGCTACTTCTGCTGACTGCAGTTCGATTCTCACCAGCTCAAGGTTGACTCAGCTTTCCATCCTTCTGAGATAGGTAAAATGAGGACCCAGATTGTTGGGGGCAATTATGCTGACTCTGTAAACTTCTTAGAGAGGGCTTAAAGCACTGAAGTGGTATACAAGTCTAAATGCTATGACTATTGCTATTAAAATTGTATCTATACTTTTTGTTCGGTTAATTAGTGTAGCATACTAAAGTTAAAAGAATTGATCAACAAAGATGATTTGAAATTTTTTACTCCATCTTATTTCCAAAGTGTTGTTTAAAGTGAGTAATTGCTGGCAAACTGATTAAAATGATTCCAACGCAATCTCAAAATTTTCATTATATTTCCACCATTTTTAATAATGCACTGATCACAAAGATTCAGAAAAGATTTTGAATCCATAGAAGGTAGAAGCCTATTTCCCCTTTTTTAGAATCAAAGGCAAAGATTCCCTTAAATCAGAAATCTGCACACATCACACATCACAAAACCCCATTCCCTTACCATACAAATCTTCATGGCTATCGAGGCGTTGGTTATCCCCCACTACGATATAGAGAGGTACACGCAGTTCTGGGAGAGCTTGGGTATAGCGATATGTTTGAGACTGACACCTCACATGATGGGATGTGTCCTCATCCCTTTCTTCCAGGGATGCTGGAACAAAAATCGGGACTCCTTCCACTTCCAATACACAGAAGACTGTTGTTGGATCCTAAGGGATAGATGGAGGGTACAACAGGGTTCTGTACACATCCCCTGTTCTTTCCAATGTTGTCCCCAAAGTTATCCCACCTTTAATCCCACCTTTCTAGGAGACACAGACATCCTTCCAATATTCAGAATTCTTTAAGGGAGGAGAGTTTTAGCATGTTTCATGTTGCATCACACGTAGGCACCCCAAAGCAAAGGATGTCTCAAAGCCTGCGCCTTTTGACCTCCACGCCTCTTTTGAGGACTCTGATTTACCTGGCTTGTCACTAAGTGTAGATTCCAGGCCACCAGATTTATTGGCATTTCCACATTGACAGGAATCAGGGGGATTTCTCCATCCGTTCCCACACTGGGACAGGCAGCTTGACCCCAAGATTCTTCCTGGAATTCTTCAGCCAATGCCTAGGAGAAATGGACAGATTAGGCGCAACTTCAGGCCTCGCGTTCTTTCCTGCCCTCTTGTTCTGGAAAGCTAGGAGACCCATGCTCTGAAGTGTATGTTTCTCACCTTGTGGTTGTAGACAAGCACCTCTGCATTTGGGCAGGGCCCTTCCGAGACACAGCGATGACTAGATGGACACCAGTGGCACATCCAGGGGCTGTCTACACACGTTCCACATCTATTGGAGAAAGAAGGATAAAATAAAAACTACCTTTAACTAAGATTATGTGAGATCAGCAAGGCAAGGGAAAAAAACTTGGCTGTTGGAATTCTTTCCAAGCCCTTAGCTTAGGGTTTCTCAACCATAGCAATTTGAAGATGTGTGGATTCAACTCCCAGAATTCCCCAGATAGCATTTTCAACTTTCCAAGGTTGAGAAACACAGCTCTACTCTGGGTTATGTGCCTGGGAAAAAGAGGGAAGGAGGCTTAGCATGGAGAAATCAGCAGCATTCCAAACAGAGATTAATCCAGCCCATTTTTAACCTGATTTTTCTCTTGTCAACCACTATCCCCATAGCAACTTTGGTAATATTCTGTTCACTTCTAGGAAACATGTCCTGTTGATGGTCAGAATTTCAATCTCCTAAATCTTTTCAATACCCCACTGAGTTGTAAAGAAATAAGGAGGTTCCTCTCTTAAAAACCTCAGCCTGCTGAGAAGAACCTCCTATTTGTCTTTCTCTTAAGTAAGTAGGTTTCTCATGGTTAGAGAAAGCAGCTGAGGTAGCTGAGGAAGATGATACTGACGAAAGAAGACTTCACGTTCTAGGGTGTGTCTAGGGTATGCACATGACATTTTTGTCACCAGGATAAATGATGAAAAATGAGAAATATAGATGTACCTGTGTAATCTGCACACTTTAGAAGTAAACATGATTACTCCACTTTTCACATGCAAAAATCCAAAATTTTAATGCAAAAACAGACACGATGCTGCTTTAATTTAAGGCCTTTTATTAGTCATCAACCTGCAGCCTTTGCCACCCCCACCTCACCCTGCCACCATCCCCACTCAACATTCGCTCACGGGGTAGAATCAGCGAGTTGGCTCACGGCATTACAGTCGTAGAAGGAAAATCCCAGAGAGGTTATGACAACATCCTGGAACATCAGAGCTAACGTCACAGTCACATGGTCTGAGGAAGAGAAAGGAGAGGTATGTGAAATCAATTTCTCCCCATCCAAGTAGCCAGCAAGAGAGAACTCGTCACACATGCCCACACAACACTTATACAAACAAGCCTTCTTGAAATATCTTCCACGTGCTAAAAGAATTTCCTGAAAATTACATTTGTTATAGCCTATCGTATACTACTGTTGTATACTACATAACTGTATAATATAAATAAATTTTTTATGTGATAATATAGCTCATAACAGCACTTTTTTTGTAACATCCAAACCAATAAAGATAGCTTGACGGGTCATCTTGAAGTTGGACAGCAAAGGTAACGCAAGCAGGCTTTTGAAACCTAGAATACCGAATGAGCATATTGTGCAGCCACCCATCAAAGCAGGATAAATACAATAAACAAACAAGAGGAAATGACAGGGCTGCACCATTTCACACTGCAGGCTAGGGCTGTTGGGCAGGTCCACCTTTCATGGAAGTCCCTCTGGACAGAAAACCAACATGACAGGGAAACCTGAGTAGCAACTTTGTACTTGACTTGGTAGTGCTTGATCTGGATTTTTTAAAAAAATATGGGCAAGTGACCAAGCAAGTACTAACCAAGTGTCCAAAGGGGAACAACTGTAGGCAAGAATATCATCTTAGCAGGATCTAAGCCTTTATCTTATTTCTGACTAGGACTATTTCTTACTTGGACTAGGAACCAGAACCAGGAGCAGAATTATTCTTGTTAAGTGTTAAAATCTTGGAAACATTTGTAAGTTTGTTAGGTCTTCATGAGAGGTCACAGGTGGGCTACAAGGGTTTATCTCTATATGCACAGTTGCAAGAATAGGTAAAGCAAGAAGACTGAGAGTCTGAGAGTCATACAGTGGGCTCCTTAGGCAACAGAGAATGCTTTGCTATTTGTAAAGGTAAAGGTTTCTCTTGTCCAGTTGTGTTTGACTCTAGGGGGAATGCTCATCTCCATTTCTTAGCCAAGGGAGCCAGCGTTGTCCCAAGACATTTTCCATGGTCATCTGGCCAGTATGACTATAGACCAAACCGCATGGAACACTGCTGCCTTCCCACCAAAGTGGTACCTGTTAATCTACTTGCATTTGCATGCCTCCAAACTGCTAGATGGACAGGAGCTGGGGCAAGTAATAGGAGTTCACCCTGCCATGTAGCACTTGGGTCTTGAACTCAGTATGTCTGCTTTGCAGCTGACAAACTCCTCATCTTTAACCGCTCAACCACTGCACCCCCATTTTGCTACTGGAACCGAAGGCTACTCCCACTGTGCAATCTGAGTAAGGCAGGGAAATACTTTGCACACACTAATCCTACTACAGCTCTCAGAGCAAATTCTCTCTCTGAGTAAATTATCATGTAAATTAAATCATTGCTTATGATTTTTAAGCTTTTTTTTTTGCATTTAGGGGGGCTCAAAGGAGAAGAAGTTAAGGAAATTTCATTCCTTAAATAAAAGTATTTCATTATCATAATGTGGATGACCAGAAAGCAATAACTAAGGCTGCAACTTTTCAAGGGGCTGCTCTGATTTTAACCGTGACCTGATTGCAGATATTGAGCAAAGTCAATTATCAACATACAGGCAACTCCTTGATTTAAGAAGGGTTTGATGCTCATTTTCTACTCTATATTTTACTTACACATCAGTTTAGGGACTCATCATCAGTCAAGACATATCATAAGAATAGTAGGGTTGCCTACTCCAGTGCCTTCACTGCTATGTAGCCCCAAAAGCAGGGTTTGATCGGCTAAGTTGCTTCTATTCTAATTGATAGGGAAATTATTTAAATTTAAATGACATATAGCTAAAGCCTACATTGCTGATGTATTACTTTTCCACTAGCATACTATGGTTTTTCTATCACTGCAGTTCCACTGCATTTGTAGGGCTTCTGGCTAAAACGTACCTTATTAAATAGCATCAGAATGTAATGCACTCAGTATAGGAGTCACACATAAGCCCCATGCTTACCTTTGCCTTCTTGGATAGGTGGCACCTGTTCAGGAACAGGTGATAAGCAGCGGATCCAAGAGTCTTGCAGCTGGGCCTGGCTTTCTTGGATCCCAAATGCACAGCGGTAATGTTCTCCTTCACCCAGTGCAGGGAGATTGGGGACCAACAAGGAGATCTGAGTAGGACAGGAAACATATACTATTTTCTTGGAGTATAAGGCAATTGAAGTCTTTGGTTTAAATGTGATTTAATACTTCAATGTTAAATCTTTGGAAGACAAAGCATTTTATAAATTTGAGCGAGATACTAATTTATGCATTATCCCTCTTAACAATAATACCTTGAGGCATATAGGGGAAAACAGGCTTGAGATTAATCCAAGCAATGCAAAATGTTTCATTTCATATGTGCAGATATTCATAGGATGATGGATAGGTCAGTTGCTAAATTATAATAAATCCACTTCTCAGTTTCCTGCTATTTCACGCACCTCTGTCTGTGTTTCTCGACTCTGGTTGGCTGGTGAAATTTCTTCCACTCTCAAGCACTGGCTCTCATCTCCATAACTCCAGAACCAGTGATTGGCCAACTCATGGCGTTCACATTCCAATTTCCGGGTACACCTGCCAATCATATTAGAGATGAAGAGAAAGAAGCTGGGTTTGTAGCAATGGCAATAGCACTTAGACTTAAATACCGCTTCACAGTGCTTTTCAGCCCTCTCTAAGTGGTTTGCAGAGTCAGCATATTGCCCCCAACAACAACATGCTAGGCTAAAATAAGACTGGCTATTTATTCTTTGCATTCTGTAAACCCAGCCAGCCGAGTTGATTTATGATTTCAGTGTGTTGAGTGCATCCAGGCAATTGGATTGAATTTAATAGACCATGGTTCAGTTAGCAATGGAACAGGGCATTGTACAACCTTGTCAGAATCCACCTCCCTTCTTTTAAAATAACCCTTTCATATTATACACTCTCTCATCACAGGCTCACCTGCTCTGTAGGACGCACCAGCCACAAAAGGGATCTTCTGCATGCAGGCATGAGGTGCAGTTTTGGAAATTAGGGCATTCTGAGACTGGGATCTTGGACACCTGGGTTAGAGTGAACAATATTTTATTACTGATTTTATTTATGTGGATAGGAAAAGTTATATTTGCGTCAAGTTTTCTACCAGACTATATAAATGGCAAAGTCTCTTCTAAAGACAAGGATTGCCAGTTTATTTAGGCAGAATTTCAAGAGTTATAAAGGCAGATGAAAGATTTAACTAAGAAATGGGCTAAGAGTAAGGGATAAAAGGAGCAGCTTCTAATTTGGTTGGGACTAATTCAGAGAAAAGTTTCTGGTATAGTTGCCTGTGTTAAGCTGGAGTATAAATTAAAAAAAAAAAAAAAGAATTCTGGAGACCTGTTGGTTGCCAAAGGCAGGAATCAACTCTATAATACAATAATCTAATAAAGGGAAATAATTTACCTCTGAGATAATGGAAAATATACACACAGCAACCTATGCTGTATTTTTCACATAACTTTTTGATATGTATTAAAAATACTCCCAGGCAGAAGAAGAAAACAACAAAGGCTTTCTTAACAGGTTTTCTTAAGCCCAGATATAGTGCAGAATTTCCTGCCTGACAAACAGATGGGAAACAGTAACAAGTTGATGGATCACCTGTGAAGTTGTCATCACATATAGGGAGGCCCCATTACTGTCGAGTAGCAGATCTGAGTTGACAGGAGAATTCTGACCGGTGGGCTTCGTGCTGTAGATCTGTGCCACGGAGCCGTTCAGATAAATCTAAATAAAACAATAGAAGCATCACTGCTTGTTCTCAGGATGCTGAGCACAGCAGTCTCTAACCTGAAGCCCCCAAGATGTGCGTGGGTTTCAGTTTCCCAAAATCCCAACTACTAATTCCTAGTACATCTAGGTGTGGATGCCTCCCCGCCTCTCTCTTTCTCTCTCTCTCCTGGCAACTGCCTGAACAAGTTACTACAGGTTTTTTTTTTTTGGCAAAATTTCAGAAGTGGTTTTACCTTTGCCTGTTTCCTAGGGCTGAGAAAGAGAGGACTGGCCCAAGGTCACGCCGCTGACTTTGTGCCCAAATCAGGACTGGAGGTTCTGTAAATATGTATTATTGGTGGGCTAGCAGGAGGACAGGCTTGTTTTCAAGGGACGTATAAGTACACTTTAGTCTGCGCTTCTTTTTAGTAGCTATTTTAAATTCCATTTAAAATGAAAGAGTTTGCCTGGTGTAGTTTGAAGGTGTATAGCAACAGCTGTGATGTTCTGCAATTCTTTGGCAAGTAAGTTTATTTATTTTTATTTATTTATTTTGTCAAGCAATTATAAGATAACAGGTATAAGTATAAACATAGTTATGAATACACGAAATGGATACATATAAGAAAAAAACCCGATAGGACAGGGACAGTAGGCACGTTGGCACGCTTATGCACGCCCCCTTGCACGCCCCTGGAATCTCTGGAACTGCTTTTCTCTAGTGGTCACTCTCAGTGCTGTTTATAAATGATGGGAGTGGGATGGTTCTGGCACAACTGAAAGAGGCACTCTGGGAAAGACAGTTCTGTAAAATGGACCAATGGCCTTTAAAATAAGAAGTTGTTGGGCAGGTTACAGTGAGGTGGGTTGGTGATTTACATTTATGATGTAGGCCACCTTAAACTGAGTGAATGGTTGGGAAAACTCTGCAAAACAAATAAAAACCATGTGTGCTAAAGCATTCTGAAACTGCTTGGGAAAAAATAATTATGAAATGTATAGAGCTACAGGTGCTTCTTTCATCTGAACTGGCTTGGTTTTTAAGACTTCTCCTTCCATCTGAAAGAGACATTAAGAAGAAGCTGAGAAATTAAGGCTAAAGATCTAAATGAAGACACTCTCCCCATGGTAGAAAAACTTAAACGATGAACAGTTTGCTGTCCCTGAATAATACCCCAACAAGTGATGCCTGAAGCAGCCACTGCACCTCAAACTTGCAGTAGGACCAGCCATTCTGGTGATATCCGAAAAACAGCATGAATTGATATACTGAAGAGAACAACAGAAGCTCAATTTCTCTGCCCCAAGACATGCAACCTTTTCCTGTTTCTTGTTTGTTTTGTTAGTTGTAAAGGGAGGGATATGGTTGACACCTAAGGTCCAGTTTTTGGGTGATAAACTAGTTTTGCAGGATAAGAGTTTTTTTTTTTTTTAAGGCAGTCATTTGGCAGGACAATCAAAGCCGCATTCCCTCTGTCTCTGGGTGCATGTGATGTCAACCCACATGCAAAACAGAAGGGGCTTTATTGCACGGCTGTGTCCCCCCAAATCAGTCCTTTTTTTTTGACCCCTTGCCTTGCTGACACTACTGCGCCTCATAATACCTTATATTAACACAAACAGGGCAATTTGAAGCGTTTTCACTTTACTGTATACTTTAGTGGAATAAAGTTTTGTATTTGCAAGACATTTCCCCAAAAGAGCTCAGCCCTTAAAGAAAGCATATAAAAATGAAAACTAAGACAACCTCATAGAAATTAAAAAAGAAACCAAGTAAGCAGTTCAAGTCTAGGGTCCTGTCCATTTGTATACTTCAAAATTTTGGAATAAATATCTCCAAGAGTCCTATCATCCTATCCACCAAATCTCACTAGCAAACCACTGGTCAAATTTTAGTGACAAGCAACTTGGAAATAGACTTTTAAGCATCAGAAAGGGTATAGGGTTAGGGGAAAAAAGGAGTTGTTGTATAATTTTCAATTTCAATAATTTCTGTTGGTTGCTAAATCAGTTCAATCACAATTTTCACTCAAAACACAAATGATCAGGAACAGAGTATCGTATTTTGGACATGTGATGCAAAGACACAGTGCTCTTGGGAAATCCATAAAAATATTGGGAAAAGTTTGGAAGTAAGATAAATGCTACATTACTGAGCTATTGCATTTCAGTTTTTTACCCATACACATCATATGTTTGTTTGGTCTGTGTTTCATTGACTGTATGAATCCAATCACTGAGATTTGTAAATTATAGGTTGTGGTTTAGACTGAGATGAAAACAGACTTTGTAGCTTGTTCAGCAAAGCATGGTGTGATGTAAGAATTCCATTCCATGCTTTTGTCTTGGGATCGCTGTTCTACTGAATAATTTGTCATGATGTGCTTCTTTTTCTGGTTGGGTTTTTTTTTCATAGTTTCTATACTTTATCCAGCCCATAAAGGGTGCTTGGTGTAGTTTATTCTAGCTCATTTCATATACTTCCTACTTCTATGCCTAGTTTTGTCCAAACGGGTCTTCTTAAGATGGAGTAGACCTCCATCTCTGACCAACACTTATGGATTTTGATGTCCAACATGCCTTTAAGGTGCCCACCAGGAAAAGTTATTCTTGAATGTTAGCTTCCAAGTCTACTGAACATGACAATATTTTTTCTTTACTTACAAAGGCATGTTAAAATGTATGCCAGAAAACTATTGGGCACTTAAATATTATAGTGAAGGCTTGTTTCAATGAGCCAATTGGGAAGAGATATGTCTGTTATTCCCAAATGTCCATTAAATGTGAAAGCATGTTATTCTGGTGATTTATCTCATCTGCATCATGATGTCATTCTGCAAATAATGTAAGTTCTGTCATATCCCCAATTTACATAATTGATGTAAATGATATAATAGGCATCAGTTGCAGATCATCACAGAAATGGTATACATTTTCCATAAAGGTGGTAAAATTAAGATCATTTAACTTGCCTTCTCTAAACTACTCCAGATGCAATAGATTTATCCATTATTTGAAGAAGGAGTCTGGATGGACGACATTCAGTCCACTATAACTAATCTTTTCTAAGTGTGTGTTGGTGGGGGAGAGTTTTATTAAATCAAGGTTTCACTTATTCTGAAATGCAGTGCTGGGAGATATTACTCTGAGGGATTTTTTTTCCCCCAAGCTAAAAACTGCAAGGGTATCCAGTGGCAATCTTTCCCACTCGGTTTTCAATCGACAGCAATCTCAGCCATAAATTTACAAAGTGCTTTATGAGCAGGCAGGAAGGCGGCAGTAGCAATAAGGAACACATCAATGCAAGGTAGGCTTTTGTGTGGGAAAGCCTGACCAGATAAGAGCTGTGTGCATAGATTGGTGTGTCTGCGGAGCGAGGCATGTTTATGCCTCAAGCACTGTCTTATCCTGCAATGTTACTGGGTTTAGAAGGAATGATCTGTTAAGTAATTTCAGCATGAGAGGGAGAGAGAGAGAGAGAGAGAGTATGATGTAGTGCAGGGGTGTCCAACCTTGGCAACTTTAAGACTTGTGGACTTCAATTCCCAGAATTCCTCAGCCAGCTTTGCTGGCTGAGGAATTCTGGGAGTTGAAGTCCACAAGTCTTAAAGTTGCCAAGGTTGGACACCCCTGAAGTGGTTAAAGTGCTGGCTAGGAGATGGTGAGTTCTAATCCCACTTTAGGCATGAAAGTCTGGAGAAAAATGAAGGAGGAAGAAGCATTATGTATGTTCAACACCTTGAGTAACCTATAAAGTAATAAAGGCAGGATAAAAATCTAATAAACAAACCAACCTCATGCTCAAAAGTAACATAGGGCGCATTGGGAATTACAGGCATACCTCTTCCAAATTAGTTCATTAAAACAAGGCTTCACTGTAATATTTAAGTTCCCAATAGTTTTCTCTCATACATTTTAACAAGCCTTTGCAAATAAAGAGAAAATATTGTTAGATTTGATAGGCTTGGAAGCTAACAATCAAAGTTAATATGATGATAACTAATTTTTCAACTCACTTTGAAGTGAGCTTTGTTGAAAGCTCTACTATACTGGATTCTGGACTATGGTAGTTTCAGCCTAAGAGAGCCACCAGTGCACTTCCTATCTAAGTCATGAAGATCTTTATGCTAAGACATGGTTTACTGAATCAACCTGGGTGCCTTTAATATGTTAAGCCCCAAACCATGATTTACAAAACCACAATTGGCTGAATTAAACATGCTTACCCAGAACAAACCCAAAAACATTTATAACACACTGAAGCCTGCTTTGCATTAAAAGTAATCCTAAAGCAGTTTAGCCACCCTTTCCCAGCATAAATCTACTTCAAACTTTAAGGGTAAAACAGGATAAAATTAAATCTCATATATACAGTGCTCTGGACAGCTAGGAGGAAGGGTGAAATATCTTGGGATTTAGCAACACCAAGATTGGATCTAGGTATTTCTGGTTCAGCTTCAGCCTATAACCAGAATTATGCATACTTATGCATTAAAATACATACTTAGTCAACTTTCCCAGAGTTAGAAGATAGAGCAAGCGGTCAGGTTTTCATATATATCTGAATATAAAAGTCATTATTTTGTAAAATCACAAATTAGAGTGGTAAAACCAGCCTTAAAGTAATATGTTTCTATTTAAAATATCTATTCACAATTAGGCACTTTAAAACAAATCCTTTTTAAACAGATATAGCCTGTCGTATGGTTGCAATAAAAAACAAAACAAAATTACAGGCAAAATTTCTGGGAGGAGAATCTCCTAAAATATGGTAAAGAAAGGAAGTAGAGATGAAGCACTCAGAAACAGACACATTTCTCCTCCACAGGTACTAAGTATTTGTGAAAAATGCATGTTGGGGGTAAGTTCCAAACAAAAGAGGCACCAAGGGGAAGAAGAAAGATGGGGAATGAGTTACTTAGGGCAGAAAGGCTTTTAAAAAGCAAATAAAGAAAGCAAATTGAGATAAGCGGTCAAACAATGGAGGGTTTAAAAAAAAGTAGCCAAGGGTAATT